TGAACTGCCAAGTGCTGCAGAAAAATAGCATGTTGGGTTTTGTTGCTTTTGGTCTTCCGGGTGACAAACCAGCACACCTTGGCATCCAAACACCTGCAACGTGTCTGCAGTTCGGGATTCCCTGACAGCAGCTCAACAGCTCTGAGTGTCACCCTGATGTGAGCAGGAAAACCTGCTGCAGCCATCCATCTGCTCAGCACCGCGACAACATGGCAGCAGTCCACACACACACACACACACACACACACACACACACACACACCTCATTTATACAGGTACAGCTTGTCAGTTCATTTTACATTTTTCTAAAACCTTTCTTTGTAAAATAATAATAAAAAAAGTTACATAATTTAATTCGGTTTATGTGAAAATCAAATAAAGTGCAAACTGCTTTGGTCCAACTTAGACACTTTAATTTCGAACCAGTTTTGTCCAAATTAACACTAATTCAGTTAATTAATTTTAATACAGTTACAAACAAACAGATTTATTCCTGCAGAGTCATTTCATGCCTGTGAGGTGTTATCTATGTCGCTTACATCTGGCTGCTGGTTCTCCTTTTAATTAGTTGTTATACTTTATTTTACTGCTGTTTTAATAAATTTAAATGAAAACTGCCATAAATGTTTAAAGTCGTTCTTATCTTCAATTCTTCTGCAGCTCCTTCGGTAGTTTAGTTTTTTTAAACTTCTACTTTTCTAACGTCTGGTAGCAGCCAGCTGGACTGCAGTGCATACTATTTAACGCTGCTGCGTGTGTGCGTGTGTGTGTGCAGGCGTGTTGGGAAACACTCAGCCACACTTTAAATATTATATATCCGTACTTCTGCAGCAGATGATGAGTTTTCTGTTGTTTTCCGAGTTTCAGTCGTTCCATAAATCAGAGTAAGGAGGCTTCAGAGCTGCTTGTGTCGGCAAACCACTTCATAGGAGATGTATGCCTGTCGTCCTGATAAATGTGTTTGCTTCATACTGCTCAGTCACAGCAGACCTCTGAAATGTGCTCTGACAGCTGCACCGCCACTCAGCACCAACCTGGCAGCTGGAACAGCAGATTCAATTTCCCCTCTAATGTGAGGAGCCGGAGCGTCTGCAGGAAGTTTCTCTTCACGGCTTTAAGAGCGAAGAAGATCGCTTCAGTTTCAGCATCTCTGCTGGTCCAGAGCAACCAGACGACATGCAACGCGTTGCTGCTTCCTCTCATCCACGCAACGGTGGCTAATCTGTTGTCGTTACTTTCAGAATAAAAGCACACACGCAGCAGAAATGAGATGTTTCCATTTTGTTCCTGTGCGTTGCAGTAATCTGCACCGAATCCTGGACTTCCGGAGTGTTTGCACTCTGTGAGCAGCAGCAGCTGCTCCGCATGAAGCTGCTGATCCGCCACTTGTGCTCTGAATCTGTTTGCAAACATTTATTTTTATCGATCAGCTCGTGGAAAGTTTAGTCTGGAGTCTGGGAGGCATTAGGAGGCGTTCTGAACAAGCCAAGACGGCGTTTTATTTCATCTTCTGTCTGAGCTGTTTATTCCTCTAAGAACTGGAGCCAACAGCACACAACACCAGGCTTGGTGACGTCATAAATATGCAAACACGATGAATCATTTGGAGACTCGATGGGACAAAAATGGTAAACAATTATTTGGCGTAAAAAAAAATTGTGCAAGCAAAACTTTGATGCTGGATTTTTATTCGCCACAAAGAGGCGAAAACATGAAAGTTTTCCTCTCCGTCTGACTGGAGATAAAAATGAATAAGAGAATCTGTAATGTTTCTGATTTCACTTGTTTTTGTTTCCGTCTTATTCCGAACCGTTAGAGTCTTCAGACGATTCGGTTTGGCAGAGGTGATCAATCAATCGATGAAATCGATAAGAAGTCGGTATAAATATCGGGTCTTAACTCTCTCTCTCTCTCTCTCTCTCTCTCTCTCTCTCTCTCATAATTACTCATTTTGAAAAGGTTCTCCACCTGCAGGGAACAGCAAACCTCCGGATCAGCAGAACCGGTGCCAAGCTTCAGCACTTTCTGCCTCACATCTCCTCCTCCAGTTCCACGTTGTTGAGCTGCAGATTTGGACCAACACGTTTCTCCTTAAGCTGCTGGTGATCACCTGACACTTTGACCTCGTTACTTAAAGGAGAAGCGTCCACTTTTTGGCAGGAAGAGTTTCTTTTCCTTCCTCTGAGTTCATTAAAAACACCAGGAACATCTGAGGACGAGCAGAACTCGTCTCCTCTGTGGAAAGCTTCAGGACATTTGGCACCAGGAAACATCCACAGCTTCACCAAACTTCAGGTCGTTTTGTTTCTTTTTACCATGAAAACACTGCACATGATGTTCTTAAGGAGGGTTTTACCAACAGCTGCATTCATCATCATCTCCAGCAGAGTGTCATCCAGCTCTACTGCAAGGTTATTATAAACTAAAACCAAATAACAAAAGCTGAAACTGAGAAAACGTTTTTATTAACTCCATACATAAAAACAGTCACTATGGGGAAAAACTTACATACATTTATAAAACATACTTGACTTATGGATATAATACCCTTTGTTTTTGTATTTGTTAATCTTGTTAGCCTTTCAAGCTGATGTGAAATCGATTTATTTTCTCCACACAAGCAGTTCACACCAGCTGTCGGTAAATTATTGAAGAATCTAAAATCTGGCTTTAATCCTTTTGTTTTTGGTAATTTCCTGATTTATTTTTTTATTTTTAAAGGAATGTAGAAAGTCGTTTAAACACGAGAAAATAACCTTGGAGTTTCTGAGTGAATGTTCAGGACCTCGCCTCTCCCTCAGGGAGTTCCACCGGGCTCTATTCTCAGCCCTCTACTTTTTGTGATTAATTTATCACCTCTTGAAGTTATGTTTATAAAGCATGACTCTGTTTTTTTATGCTGATGACTGCAAAATGTGTTTCCCTTTAAAGCAAAACAGATCCACCTTTGTTCAGTCTCTCCTTGACACCTCAGTGTGTCATGAACGGTGTAGTTGATGGTGAGGAGATGAACGCAGAGACCCAGGTATGATGGTGATAATAAAGGTTTTAATAGTGACAATAATCCACAAGCAACAGTCCAGGACAGGCAGCACGGGAAAGAACTAGAGCACACAGCTAGCTACCGGTAGCACTGTCACGAAGTCTGATGCGGCGCTTAGTTGGCCAGGACTTAGCAGTACAACTGGCCAACTAGACAAACTGAGACAATAGACAAAGACAACGACAAGGACCCGACGAGGAACACAGACAACTGGTGGGTTTAAATACACACGGGGTAATTAAGGGAATGAGACACACCTGGGGAGCAATCAACGGGGAGGACAGGACAGAGACTCACAGGGAAACAGGAAAACATCGAAAACTCAAAACGCACAGAAAACCACGGATCATGACACAGTGTGTTTCTTTCACAAATATGTGCAAAATTGTATTCAATTTTGATATATCGCTATTCCATTAATGTTGACAAAACACAATTTTGCAATTGCAATTAAATAAAAAACACAATTTAAATCACATGTGAATAAGTTTGTTAACTAATACACCATCAGCCTCCTACTGCTTTCTGTTGTCTTCTTCTTTGTGGTTTTCACCAGTAGTAACATTTTTATTGGAGCCCTCTTTGGTTGATTACAAGTTGTTTTTTTTGTAGTTATTTATTAATTTGGTATGGAGTGAGACATTCCTTCATGCTGCATGTAGTTATTGTTCTGAGATGAAGAATTTCAGATCAAAATGTTTTACTGTTTTTTTTCAGTTGGCGTAAAGTCTGGGCTGAATTTCTTCTGTTCAGGATCTTCTCTTTGTTTTCTCTTTTGTGGGGATAAATGTTGAAGGTTAGAAATCACTCAGATCAACATGTTCTCTGTGTGGAGCTGCAAACTAACGCCACACGTTCTCATTACTTTAATTAGGACATTTTAGAAACCTCAGCGGGGTTTCATCTGGTTAAATAAAGGAGACAAAACAGAAGAAAGGCGACAGGAGAAAGACAGACATATGGATCTGTCTACGTCTCAGTCATTAAAACGTGCTTTTATTTTGAAACTCAAATTACTACCACCAAACAGTCTAAACACGTCAAGATTACAAAACAATGCATTACTGTTCACTAATGCTCCAGCAGCCTCCTACTGCTTCCTGTTGTCTTCTTCTTTGTCGTTTTCAGCAGTATATGATGTTTTTGTCATATGTTTTTGTCAGAATTTGACAAAAACGTCATATTCTGCCCTAAAATATTTTAAGATTTCAGTGTAAAAAATGTAGATATGTGATGTGTAGAGTGGTAAGAGTGATTTACAGTTAAAACTAGAATCACATGACTGATGTCAACTTTTCTAGGAAACTGTGATGTGTTTTTCCGCAGGACAATGCTAATACAGCTAGCTGAAAAAAATGTATGGTGTCCCAATGAGTCAGAAGGGCGCCTCGCTGGAGGGGGCGCCAAAACGATGTTGGAATAACTATTTCTAAATGTGATTTTCTGTATTTAACATCAGTTTGCTTTGAAAACTCGGGAGAGTTTTATAAAACAGTCAGAGAACTCTGACTGAAACGAGACTCAGTTGGTAAAGACAATTATCCATGCTCTCTGCAGCATTAACACGATCCAAATTAGATTTTTTTTAAAAATCAATCTTATAGTTTTTAATGGTTTACACTAATTTCTGTGTTTTGCTCATGATTTGAATAATAATACAACGTGGGAAAACAAAGGGTGTGAATACTTTACACACGGGTTCTGGTTGATTTGGAGATTTTGTTTTATGTTAAACTTTATTTATTTATTTGAACAGAAACGAAAAATGTTCGCGGTGTGGTTTGACGGTTCCGCCTGTTTCCGGTCAGTCCATGTCTGGGTGTGTTGATGTCAGCAGTTTAGGAAGTTTGGGGTCCCGCTGTGTGTGTACGTGAGTGTGTGTGAGTGTGCGTGTGTGTGTTTGGGGGGGTCCTGCCCCTCCGGGCTGCGCCGGTACCGTAAAAAAGGCGCATGTGTGTTTGCGACTGTGTTGCCAGTTGCGCCGCATCCAGACGCGCTGCCCGCCGCTGGCTGATACCCGCCCCCTCCTCTCCTCCTCTTCCTCCTCATCCTCATCATCATCATCATCCTCCTTGTCCTCTCCGCGTCGCCCCTCATCTTGGTGCTGTTGTGCGCAAAAATCTCCCGCGCCGGACGGAGGGGACGCAGGAGGAGCCGCCGCCGGAGCGGACATGGATGTTTAACCAGCACGCTGATCTCCGCAACAACAACACGCTGTTTGCAGATTTTTCTTTAGATTTATTTTGGGGTTTTTCTTTTTAGGATGTTGCTTTTGCCCTAGGAAGGGAGAGGATCTGCTCGATGTTTCTCTTCAGTTAATCACGGAACCAAGATGAGGATTTCTCCCTGTGGTTGGATGGTGTGGATGTTCTCGGGCTTCGCGATGGGAGCTTTCCCCAGCAGCGTTCAGATCGGTGAGTGCGGCTCGCTTGCGTGGACGTCCCGCATGCGGCTGCGGCTGCGGCGGCGCTCGGGTTGCTCCTCCAGGATGCAGTCAGGAGGGTTAATGCGCTTTGTATCTGCGGGCTCAGGCTGCCACTGCAGTAGATCACAGCGGTAAACTGTGAGTCTCTCTCTCTGTGTGTGTGAGTCCCACTGGTCTCCCTCCAGTTTAACCACTTTGCAGCTCCTGCTGGGAGCAGAGAGGTGACAGCTTTATGGTTTCCATTAGAGAGGGAAGGGCAGCGAGTGACCTCCAGCTGTTGATCACCTCTAGAATCAGAAACAAACCTTGAATCCTCCGAGAGGAAAAACCACAGAGAGACTGGAGGGAAACGACGAGCCGCAACAACCAGAGCGACCCACTGGAGGGGAGAGGAGAGGTCAAAGTTCAGGGTTTGTTGCAGAGCGTCACCTCTACGGCTGCAGCTTTATGTAACCAGTGCGCGCGCGAGTCTGTGTGTGCGTGTGTGTGTGCGTCCAGATATTTGCTTAAACCAACAATCAGAGCTTATTACCATTAATTTAACCAAACCGCTGCCAGATAACGCAGCTTATGCAACCTCCGGTCGGCCCAGGCTGACCTGCGCCCCCAACACACGCACAACACGCACCACACGCACTCCGCTTCACATTTTACCTGGAGGTCCAGCAGCCTCCGACATCATGACTCTGTGGATTTGGAACAGAAATTAATATTTCTATCAAGAAAAAATGTGAAACATTAACACATTCTGTAAATTAAACATTTAGAAAATATGACATATTGGAACAAAATCTGGATTATTGGGTAAAATCTGGATTATTAGTTGGTTGTTTGAGGTCGTCTCTTCAGGTTCCAGGTCTGTCAAACGGCCCACAGCATCACAGGTACTCCACCTTGCAAGGAGCCTCTTCATAACCAAAGGAGGCCACTTTATTAGGCACACACCCCTTCACATGCTCGTTAGCGCAGATATCGGCTCGGCCAATCAAATGGCAGCAGCTCAGTTCGTTGGTTCATGCTGACGTGTCGAAGACGAATCAGAACCAGGAAGAACCTCTCCAATGGAAACCATAACTCCCAGCAGAACCAGCGCTTCTGCCAGAAAGAACCCACACCCCATCAGGTTCAGAGAGAAAGGTCTGCAGATGAGCAGGTTTCCGCTCCGGTTTTTCTGCGCTTTGCTTCGGACAGAAGATCTTGACCATCAGGTGTTGAGAATCGCTAATGGTCAGTAAGTAACACTCAGCTGTGAAGCTAACCGGAAATGTGCTGCAAACAACCAACCTGCACCTCGAAGACCTTAAATATTGCTCTGACTTTAACTGCCGACACGGACTGAACGGCTTCGGTCACTTCATCCGCTGCCACCATTACTAAGCTGTATCTACCTTTAGCTAAATTACCTAGCGACGCCGAGCCACCATGATGGATGCCGGAAGTGAGGGATGGAAGTGGCTACCATTATTTTCCCAATTTTTTTTTTTTGCCAGTTTATTCATGGCTACTACTTCTTTGAGTTAAGCTAACTTGACTAGCTAGCTGCAGTAGCTAGCTAGCTTAGAAACCAACCCAACGTTTCTCCCTTCTGACATCTTTTTTTGGTTTGATCAAATCACTGACTTTGCGCAGAAAACGGCGTTTCCCCTTACATCAAAACAGATTTAATACTGTACAAAGTCTAGATGCTAACCAGTTTTTTCGTACATAAATGGTGGTGGGGTATTTGGCCTGCATTAATGGTAATTAATGATTATGCGTTCCTTTTCCATAATGCTGTATATGATTAATTGTATCTTACTAATCATGCTTATGAATTAAGTTAACATTAATCTTCTTACTTTCAAAAAAAAAAAAAAAAAACGTTTACAGCAAATCCATGAATATACATCAGTGTGTCATCTTTCTTCGTCAAAAGGCTTATGATTAAATCAAATTTGGTTTACATCCTTGCCTGTTTGTGCAGCTCAGCGGACTGTTACCATTTTCACTGTGAAATCAGCTAAATAAAAGTGACATGAGGCGACTGGCTGTACGTTTTTCACTAGTTTTACAGGAGTTAACACTTGTTTAACTCCTGTAAAACTAACTTGTTTTAAGGTCTGTCACGGCAGACTGGGTCGCTTTCTGAAGAGCCTGATGCTCAGAAAGTTGTCATCGTTCACGTCATTCCTCGTTCTGTACACCGATGAAAACCAAATTAAAATTCAACCAAAAAAATTAATTAAATTGGAATAGGAATTAAAATTGAGCTCAATGGGAGAAATCCCAGAAAGACTTTGAAGGGAGATGAGAATCAAGTGGAATAGTGCAGGAAGGCAACACCTGGAAAGTTTCTTTTACAAATAAACAATCTGATTCCTTTAAATCTTACATTTAATTTTAAACAACTTAAATTCTTTTAATGTATCTTGAGTCGAGCTAGCTTGTCTACCTAACGAATCAAATGTAAAACTATTCTACGGGATTAACTATTGGACGTACTGACATAATATTTTTAATATCTTGAAGGAGCAACATAAATAAAGGTTTACTTTCATTTTCAGTAAACAAATCTAATCATTTTGATGACGGTGATAGTCTGTGTTAAATTCCCTTAGTTTGGTTATGCTTTGGGCCGGTTCGGATCAGGGGCAAACGTTTTATTTACATTATTGTTTATGTCTTTTACATTTTTTATGATTTTATTTTTCTAGTAACGGTTTCTTGGTTGCTGCTTGTCTTCTTGGGTTCTGGACCACAGCATGATGCTGCCACCACCACATTTTTCTGGGTTCCTCCTAACTTCTGAAGACAACTACTAGTTCCTCTTGGTTTTACCTAGGCGGATCAGAGTGAAGTGCTCTAAACTTCACACAAATGCACACCGCACTTTTAAGATTTACTAGAGGGTTTCATTTTCTCCCATTTCTAATGAAACACAGAAGACGACAGGAGTCGTCTGTGCGCTCAGGTGAAATCTGAACCGAGCGTAAAGACGAGTAAATTATTCTGAGCTTTACCTTCTTCAAAGAGGTCAGCCATGAAAGAACGGTCTGACATTTAGCTTTAAATGACATTTACACTGTCCCGTCCGCGCAAATGTTGCCTTAAGTCTTAATTTAAAATATGAAACAAACCACTTCTAACACCTGTGACATTTGCACAACCACGAGCGGCTTAGTGTAGGTCTCCGTATGAAGATCGAAGCGGACGAGGCTGATCTGCAGCGCCAGGCTGATGTAGCGCTCAGCTAAGAAACAGAAACACTCGGAGGATCCAGCAGGATGCTGCAGGAACGGCATCACCTCATCCAGCCGAGCAACAAACAGGCAGGGATGCAGAAATGGGCGTGCAGGAAGTATTAGACTCACACTGGGGGGGGGGAAAAAACTTAATTATGAGGATAAAGTAAAAATAAAATGACAATAAAATCATAACAATGTGAGGATAAAGTTGTAATATGATTAAAAAAAAATAGTACGATCAAATCGTCTTAATAAATCAAGATTAAAGTTGGGATAATAAAAAAAAAATCTTGTTATAATAGAATAGTCATACGACAAAAGAGTCAAATTAGTCGTAGAATAGTCTAAATAATATGAGAAATACATAACACAAGAACAAACAGTTATTACACAAGAAGAAAGTCATACAAAAAAGTTTAAATAATACGAGAATAAAGTCATAATACGAGATAAAAACCACAGAAATACAAGAAAAAAGTCATAAAAATACGAGATTAAAGCCATAATAATAAGATAAAAAACTTGCAATAATACGACAAAACTGTCACAATACCAGAATGAAGTTGTACACCAAAATTCAAAATAATAAGAGAAAAATATAATTTCAGAAATTGTTGTAATGATACAAGAATAAAGTTATACGACAAAAGGTGAAACAATCAGAGAATAAAGTCATAAAAACAGAAAATAAAAATAGTAATAATACAAGAAAAACATCTTAATATAAGAATAAAGCCGTACGACAAAAAAGTTGAAATAACACTAGAAGAATATCACGATAATACAAGAAAAAGTCATTACACCAGACAAAAATCGCACTAATACGAGAGAAAGTTTCACAACAATGAAGTCATAATAAAGGGAGATTTGTCCCAATCATTTCTACACGTCTCTCCTGCCGCCATTCGCCTTCCCAGCAGTTTAAAAGCCAGTCAGTTTTCTCCCCTCTGTGGCAGATCTTGTTCTCTCGTTGCTTCCAGTCCATTTTTCCTGCGTTTCTGTGTTTTCATTTGTAATTTCCATCATGAAGCTGCTGTTTTTCCAACATCTTCCGTTGCTGGTTTTGATTTTTAATCTGAATTTATCAGACTTTGGGGACGAGGCGTTGATTCTTAACTGCTTGTTTTACTGCTGTGTTTGTAATTTACTTTTTATGAAAACAAATTTTAAAAAATTAAAAATGACGCAAAGCGTTTTACATGAAAATTGGCTTAAATTATTACAGGAGTCCTTAAATCTCCTCCTCCATTCAAATGAGGCAGAAGAAGATGATTTTTGTTTCCACAGTTTAGTTGTTTTTTGTTTTTACAGTTTGGTTGATTTGTGTTCCTACGGTGTAGTTTTTTATTTTATTTTCTTTTCTTTCAGTTTTTACACTTTGTGTCGTTTCTTTGCTGCTGTTTCCTGGTTGAATGGCTCCGTAAACGTTGGTTTGAATGTTCTCTGTCCCGTCTGCAGGTGGTCTGTTCATCAGAAACACGGATCAGGAGTACACGGCCTTCCGCCTGGCCATCTTCCTGCACAACACGAGCCCCAACGCATCGGAAGCCCCGTTCAACCTGGTGCCTCATGTGGACAACATCGAAACGGCCAACAGCTTCGCCGTCACCAACGCCTGTGAGTCTCCTACTGATTCCATGCACACAGTAGAAATAACGGGCTGAGAAATGACCGTAACTCTGCTGGTCTTAGCTTCTTTGCTCTGCGTTGTGAATTTAAGTGAGCGTGTAATTAATGAGGCGGTTAAAACATTAAACTTTGTTCTGTTTTGGTTCGAAAAGCTACAGTAAAAAGAAGAGGATTATGTTTTGTTAGAAACAGTTGTGGATTCTCCTGTGGAGTGGTAGCTCTGTTCTACATCCCCATCTTTGTTATTGATAGAATTAATTTCTTTCATTGTAAACACAGGAGGCTGAGATTCTGCTTCTTCTGACCTTATTTCTCTCTGTCGTTCACATTCAGTCGATGCTGTCTGAGGTTTGAGTTGGTCAGTTTAAGATTAATGACATGAAAAAAGGAACTTGTGACCTTCCATTGAATCTTTTTGTACTTTTGTGCAGCGAGCAACTGATTTGGAAAAGTTATTAGCATGCTAATTACTCTTCTGATGTCACAGACCTGCATGATGGACTTTAACTGAAAATAACTTTTCTCGTGGCTTTAATTCAGAGTTTGGCTTGAGTTATTTAAAGCCAGATTAGCCTAAATATGTTGTAATTTCCCTATTAACCTAAATCCTGATGCTTTTTGATACAGAAAAACTTGTATATCTTTATTGTCTTTGTAATATAATATCTCATAAAAAGTGCCATTGTAATACATGGGATATGTTGAAGAAACGTGATCAGTCAGTTTATGATCTGTTGTTTACTATCTTAGCAGGAGCTAACACCATTAGCAGGAGCCAACACCATTAGCAGGAGATAACGCCAATAACTAGAGTTAATATGAAATCAAAACAGTTTGGCCGATAATAAATGGTTGCTTAAAGTGACAATGAAGCATCTCTTTCACAGTGTGTTGATCTCCATGCTAACCATCAATAGCTTGAGTTGGAAAGTGGAACTCTGCTTTAATGACCGACTCTCTCTTCCTCTCTCTTCCTCTACCTTCTATTTCAATGTGCTCTGCTTCAAATGTAAAGGACGGATCATAACTCATTGCGCAAAGATTACTCTTCTTTCCGGACGCAGCGTGCGTCATCCACCCAGAATGCATTGCATTGTAAACAAAATGGCGACGTTTGTGTGACGATATTTTGGTTAAATTCATAAAAACTTAAGAATCAGCTGTCCACTGTTGAATGCTGGATGCTGGTTTCCTGTTGAAAACCAGGATCAGTCGGACTGGATGTAACTGACCAGGTCTGAAGAGACTTGCTTTGAATTTTCTTTTAGCTGCTGATGGCTGAATAAATAAACAGAAGAAAAAAAACTGGGTGATTTTTTTTTTTTTTTCCTCACAGTTTTACTGACACTGACGGATTTCTGCTGATTCTGTTTGTGCATTTAGCATTTCAGGAACATCGCGGTGTGTTTGGTTAAACGACCATCTGCTTCTGGAAGTCGCAGCCATAAAGTAAAGAGTAAAATGGATAATTACATTACCGGTGTCCTCCACCTCCCCCAAACAGATTTAGGTCTCTGTGCTTCCATCAGCTGAGTACTGATGACGTGGCGTCAACAGCTGAGCCATGGTTGCCGACAGCGACAGGAAGATGGTCCCACACTGCGCCTGGGTGTCCTAACCGCAGCAGGCGGGGATGGTCTCCCTGGAGGAGCATCGTCGTCCCTCTTTCACCCTGCTCACTCTGTCAGCGGCTGCAGGACCATAAAACTCCTCAGCCTGATGTTCCCACTATCTGCTGTTTTAAAAAAATCAATGGCTAAATTAAGCAGAGAATGAAGTGGCTTCATGTAGGTGCATGGCAGGCAGCAGGCAGCTGGGTTTACCTCGGACAGGCAGAACGGGCCGTCTGGCAGTTGTAACTCGGCTCATCCAGATGGTGATGAACCGGGAGGAAGGATCTCCAGTAGCAGACAGAGATGAAAACCTCTGAAGAAGACACTAAGCACAACTTCATTCTAGCTGGATTCTAGCGTTTGTCTTGGTTGTATTACCCAGAATGCTCTGCTTTGTAGAAGGATTTTCAGTCAACATCACTTTGTGTCACCAACTGCTGCACTGTACATGTCTCTTGGATAAAGAAAGCAGGATTATATTATTCCAACTATTTAAACTATTTACAATTATGCAAATAAAATGACTTACAAAGTTGCAAGGTTTTATTTTCAGTACAGCCTCCCATTCAGTATTTTGTACTTTTGATTTCTGATAACTTCATTTACCGCCTGCCTTGATGGCTGCAGCTGTATGTTCATTTTTTATGTGAAATTCATGGGAGTTTTTCTGTAAGGATGACCAAGCACCGTAAGAAAACCACCATGTGTTTTTATTTTGGCCGGCCGGAGAAACTGAACCAGAAGGAAATTCCCTGCAGTCAAAATGACTGCTTGGTTTTTCCTGTCATTTATTCACTTAACACGTTTGGGTCATGAGGACATATCTTATTCACTAATGTTTGTTTGGTAGCATAAATAATTTTATCACACTATAGCTAATGTTAAAACAGGAGTGGGTAACCATGGCAACCGGGCCAGTTTAAAGGCAGGTTGGTTCTCTCTGCAGTCAGATTGTACAAAACCTGGCCATTTTAAACATCTAATCCCTTTATGCTTCCTGCTGTTGGAGAGGTGTCAGTCGAAAACATTCGGACTGAACCAGAGTTCACTTCAACCGAACCGAGACCACGGTTTGTAGGTGATTAGCATTCAGACCTCACCTCTCGAGGCAAACAGACTGGAGTCGGATTAAAGTGAACTGGACTGGACTAGTGTGAATGGACCCCGACCTCCTCTGGATTTCATTCTCATATCAGTTTGTTTCCAACCATTTCATGTGTTCTCGTGTAACTTTCTTCCAAACACCTGAACATTTGAGATTTTTGCACGTTTTGAGATCCTCCTGTTGGGAGTTTTCCAGTCTTCCACGCTCAGATCCTGAAATGATCCGGTGAAAACGCTTTCCCTCCACAGAACGTTACGCTGGCTTTTCCACTTCCCACTTTAATGGCTCCACATCCACTGAAAGTTGGTCTGCAGCTCATTGATTGGCCGAGCCAAATCAGAGCAGAATTACATGAGCCAATCAATGGCTGTGATAGCTCAGGGTCAGCCGGGAGTCTGAGATCGAACCCACACGGCTTGTTTTCACCCCCAGCCCTCCGTGTTACATTTCACTGCATTTCTGCTCCTCGGCTGCTGCTCGGCTCAGCCATCAGAGCCTCAGAAGATCTGGATGTGATCAGGGCGGTAGAGGGCAGGCAGTGGGTTAGGGCGGGGGAGGTGGTGGGGTGAGGGGCGGCTGCTGTCAGGGGGGATGATGGAGATAATTGGTGGGAGGAGGAAGAGGACAAGCTAGATGATCTCCGTGTCGCTGATAATCTTCCTGTGGACACAGACACAAATGATTTCACACGTGTTTGATTTATAACTCGGTCCACTCTGAGGTCGCTACGCCTCTAAAGCAACCATTAATAAACACAAACCCTTTCATCTGCATCAGTCTTTATTTTATTAAGGAGTTTCGCGCTGTTTATCGCTGCAAAGTCAGTAAACAGGAAGGAAAGATGTTGCCTTTCAAAATAAAAGAAGCACATTCAGAACACAACCTCTGAGGAATCTGGATGGATGGATGCATGGATGGATGGACGTTGGTTGTTTGGTTGTTCTGTTGGTTTGTTGGTTGGTTGAGCTGACTGAGCAGCCTGGCTGCCTCATGGTGCAACAGAGAAATGATCAGTGACTCTCTGTAAGGCGGCCGGTTTGGGCGGCTCTCAGAGAGAGTCGAGTGTTTTTAACGTAAATGATGTGAACGGCTGGAGGAAAGGAGACTTTGAGTCATAGCGATCATTCATTACAAGCCTCAGACATGCAGACATTCTAACAGGAAGATGGCCAACATGGCCGCCATCCTAACAGGAAGCTGACCAACATGGCCACTCCTCAGAGAGCACGTTGCCTTCGTCTCATGTGCCCAGGTTGAGGCCTGATGATTGCCTGGCAGGAAGGGGTTAAGGCGTCCCTCCTCCGCGCTGCCTTGGCCTCCATTCAATTGGTGACATCTTAATGTGCGTTGAGTCATTCATATTCAGCGTGGCGCTCTGACTCACTCCACATCCAGACAGCAGGCAGCCACCTCTGCTCCTGCGACGAGCGCTGCGCGGTTTCACGTGAACGCTTCCTCTCTCCGTCTCCTTGGCCTGATGTCAGCCCTGCTGGGCTTGATTACTTATCTTTGTTCTGCTGTTGCTGGCCTTTAAATGGCTGCAGCTTACGTCCCGTTCGTCTGGAGATGCCTCCGCTTGGAAGGAAACGCTGAGGCCTTTCGTCACTGGCTGCCTCTGTGTGAAACGTTGGGATCTGGAGAAAAGGAGAGGTCTGCTAATGAGAGATTAATGCAGTGAAGCAGCAGAGAAGCAGGAATAATGAGCAGATGAAAGGAAAACCTTGCAGAAAGACAAACATGTCTTCACAGAGGAAGTTAGGACTTCACTGTCTGTCTGATCAAAACGAGCCAAACCTGTTTGCTCCAATTCAATACTTTGTTATTGGAATTGTAGTGCTGAGGTACAAACCAATGTGTTGGGGTCAATACGCTACAAAAATACAAAATCCTACCAAGTATTTTTGTTTAGTTTCTAGTGCAAATGTCTTGGTTCACTAGAAATGAGAAAAACTCATTTCTTCGAAACGTACAACTTTTCAGCAAGAAACAAGAGCTTGTTTTACATCAATAATTCCTTAACATTGATGAAAAAAGTTCTTGTTCACACAAGTACTTTTCATCTGTCTTGAGGAATTATTGACATAAAGCAACCCCCTGTATTTTGTAGAAGTTTAAAGGAAAACATGTTTACATGTTTTGATCTTTCAGGATTTGTTCACTTCATCAATAGTTTGTTAATTTACTGACTAGAAGCTGAAGAACCTGGAAACCATCTGCTCTACACCAAACAACGTGAATGCACAGATTTCATTTTAGATAGAAGCCGTTAG